AGATACCTCAAGAAATTTCCTAGAATGAGGATGTTGTTCAAATAGAATGGCCACCTAAAGGTCGAAGTGTATATTGGTGCTGATTGAGTTGGATCAATTGATGATAGAAGGTCCACTAGTGGGTATTGTACCTTCATAGGAGGTAACTTAGTCACTTAAAGGGGTAAGAAGCAGAATGTAGCARCAAGATCTAGTAAAAAAGCAAAGTATTGAGCCATGTCTCATGAAGTTGCAGAAATCTTGTGGATACTTCCCTAATATCACTATACTGTGACAATAAAGTTGTCATTAATATTGCTGCCAATTCAGTCCTTCATGACAAAACAAAGCATATAGAAGTAAACAAACATTTTTTTAGAGAGAGAAGCTTGAAAGTGGGGAAGTGTGCACTCCCTTTGTTAGTTCCAAGGAGCAACTTGCAAATGTGTTTACCAAGGGACTACCTCACCTGCGGTACCATGATCTTTGTGACAAGTTGGACATGACAGATACCTATGCCCCAACTTTAGGGGAAGTGTTGTGTTGAGGCTTTTTTTAGTTTTTTCTCTTTAAGTGCCACAAAAGCACTATTGTACTTTTGCCTTCCTTTATGGGTTGCCCCAATATAAATAGAATTGTTGGCACCGCCAGCAAGCTTTTGGGCTGTCATTTGATTCTCCTCTCTTTCTCTCTTCTCTCTCCTCTCCTCTTATTCTCCCTTTTTCTTGGTTCTTTTGTTGATAAAAATTTTCATTTTTGGGTAATAAAATGAAAAGTTATTAATAAGAAGATAAATTACAAGGAGAGTGACCAGACAACAATTGAAAGAGAAAAAAGAAACAACTTCAACTCCCACCGAAGCCTCCAAATCTCCAATCAAAAACAGAACCCAACAAAACAAGAGAACACAGAATCCCAAGAACCCCAACTAAAAYATCCCACCAACAACAAACCTCCAAAACAACCTGAAGCAATTACACTTCAACTCAAACAAACTCAAGAAAAAAACAAAAACCAAAACCAGTTAGAACAAAAACAACATAAACAACCACAACCCCACTAAGTCATAACTAAACTCCAAACAAATCACTTCTTCCTTGAGACTTTCTTGATCTTCGTCACTTTCTTGTTTGGTCCAATCCCAAATAGACCCCCTTTGAGTCTATCAAAGACGTTTGAAACCAAGACATCTTGATGCTTTCTCTGGTTTCTAATCTTCTAACTGCTACAGTATCCTTCCTGAGCTCCAATGAAACCAYAGGTTCCTCATTGACMACTCCTTCAAGCCTATCTGAAATGATACTGTTGTGACTATCTTCAGACATTGAGAAATTTTCTTCAAGATCTCCATCAGCCTCCCTCAAAGGCATTGGATATTTTTCTTCTAATTCTCTGAATATTTTTCTAGCAAAATCCTCTCTCCTCGCCAAAAAAAAAAGAAAAACGGATACCCAAAGATTTGCTCAGTTCAACTTCTATGTTCACAGTCTTTTCCAAATCAACTGGTTTTTCAAATTTCAATAACATTGGTTTCATCCATTATAATCTCTTCTTTTGAATCATCTTCCTCTTTTTCAAGACATTCTTGTCTCTCTTCTAATGGTCTTTTTCTGTATTTTCTTTCCTTTAAGAAACTTWGAAAATGATATTACTATTTTTTTTCTTCTTCCCCAACTGTTTTTTCCATACCCCTCCCTGATTCCTTCTAACCAGTTATGATTCTCTACCTTTTCCCTCTGTAATGAATTCTGATTCCTTCTCTTATCTCTTGAAAGCTCTCCTCACGCTTCTCAGCTGATTGTTCTACCTCTTTACCAGGTTAACCGAAGCAGTAAAACTTACTTCTATGTTAGTTTCCGCCTCATTCATCTAGTTCAGTTTACTACTATTTGATCCATCAGCTCCTGTTCCACTCAAATGTTAATTGCAGCCACCACCCATGAGCCTTCCTCCTTATCAGAATCCTCAAATACCTCCACAAAACCCCCTACCTTAATCTCCTTCCCTAAATTTTCATGTGTACCTTTTTGTTCAATTCTGGTACCTTTTTCTTCATTCTCCCTTCCCTAGCACCTTCATCTCTTTGCCTTCCAAAACCTCACAGGCACCAATTTTTGTTCATGGTCAGTCACACTGGCATGCCCTCAATCTTTAATAACTTCTAGGAGGGACGATCTCACTGTTGAATTTCCACTTCCAAAGCCTAAAAATCATGACCTAATCGAGGAAGACGATGATGAACCAAGAAATTCAACCATCATTGCCCCTACCATTCGACTCACACGAGCCTTTAAGTTGTCACATGCCTCCCCATCGTTGGGCTTGGATTTGGTTACAGACCTCCCCTTTCTCCTTTCCTTTTCACCTTGATTGCAGAAGTGTCGGGGAGGTTAATTGATAGAGCAGATTAAAGAGGTCTAGTGAGGAGATGTAGGGTTGGAAAAGATAATATACCTATAACTCACTTACRATTTGCTGATGATACTATCTTGTTTTGTGAGGGGGAGGATGTGAGATGGGCCAGAAACTTGAAGTTGGTGGTCCAAGTATTTGAGCAGATGTCTAATATGAAGGTGAATTTTGATAAGAGCTGTGTAGTTGGGATTAATATGGAAGAGAGAGCTATAAGGGAAAGGACTGAAGCTTTGGGGTGTGTGGTGGCTCAATGGCCTATGAACTATTTGGGGATGCCCTTAGGTGACAACCCRAAGAAAGAAAGTTTTTGGAACCCTGTAATTGATAGGTGTCAGAAGAAGCTAGCCGCTTGGAAGAACTATTTATCTCTGGGAGGCAGAATCACAYTGATTAAGTCAACAATGGAAAGTTTGCCTGTGTATTACTTATCAGATTTTAGAATCCCATCGAAGATAAGTAAATTATTGGAAAAGTTGATGAGGGACTTATGGTGGGAACCAAGGGAGGAGAAGAAGAATCAAAAGGTAAATTGGGATTTGGTCTCTACAAGTAGGGCTGGTGGAGGATTAGGACTAGGTAATGTTCGAAATAAAAATGAGGCTTTGTTGGGGAAATGGTTGTGGAGGTTGGAAGGTGAGAGGGGGAAGTTGTGGACGAGAGTTATTTTCAGTATTTATGGTCAGGCAGAGGATGGTTAGGATACAGGAGGGTCTTTGGCAAGGTCAACTAGAGATTCTCCTTGTAAATCCATTCATGCCATTCTACCTTCCTTTCTACAGCACATCAGGTATGACCTTTATTCTAGGAATCAGGTAAAATTTTGGGAGCACATTTGGGTGGGTGATTTACCTTTGAAAAACCAATTTCCTTCTCTTTTCTCACTTTCCTGGTACAAGGGAAAGTTTGTGTCTAGTTTTCTGGTTCCTTCTCAGTCCAACTTTAGGTTTGATTAGGATCTGGGGTTAAGAGAGGCCTAAGGGATTCGGAAGCTGAAAATGCAATGAATTTGATTCAAATCCTAACTCCCTTTGAGACATTCTCTTGTGCTTCCTTCTTCAATTCCCTTTTGCATTCTACCAGTAATTTTGCACAAAGTTTACCAGTTAAGGAAGCTTGGGGTGAGCCGATTCCTCCGAGGGTTGGAGCTTTCTATTGGGAAGTTTTCTTGGAAAGATGTAATACCTGTGATTTACTCCATAGGAAAAGGCCTTATTGGTGCTTATCTCTTAGTTGGTGCATTCTCTATAAGGCTAATGGTGAAAGCTCCTACCACTTATTAATTTCTCGCCCTTTTGCTTCTGTTATTTGGGATTGGCTTCTTTCTCTTTTTGGTTGCAGGTGCCCCCCCCCACCCCGTCGTCAAACATCATCCAAAGCTTGTTGTGCTCCTCGTTCCTTAGATGGCCAAAGAGAAGGGGTAGGATTATGTGAAGATGTATGAGGGCTGCTACTTGCTGGACTCTATGGGAGGAAAGGAATCACAGAAATTTTTCTTAAAAGGAAAGAAGTAAAGAAGGCATTGTTGAGGTCATAACAGTTCTCAAAGAACCATTCAACCTAAAAGCTTAAGTTATTAGGTGAGGTCCTTGAATAGGTTGATATTCTCTAAAACGCCCCCTCACACAAAAGCCCATTGGGCTTGAAGCGTGAACAAGCACAGGCCCACCCATACCTTGTGCTGAAACTTATTTAATTATAATGGGGGTAACGAGGATTGAACACTAGACCACTTGGTCAAAATGGCTCTAATACCATCTCAAAGAACCATTCAACCTAAAAGCTTAATCTGTTAGGTGAGGTCCTTGAATAGGTTGATATTCTCTAACAACAGTCAAGGTGGTGCATTGGATAAAATATGTACAGCTATTTGATGATGTTTCTACGGTTATGTTGTTGAACAACTAAATGGAAGTGGCTAACTCTGCATCGGCTCGGTTTTCCGCTGCTCCTGTGTGGTCACCAGTCACCTCCTAGCAATGGATTTATAAAGTTAAATTTTGATGGGAGTAATGAAGGTAACCCAGGCCCTTCAAGTGTAGGGGTGTCTTCAGAGATGAGGAGGGGAAGGTGTTWGCAATGTATTTGTGCTCCATTGGGGTTGGGGGCTCTTTTAGAGCTGAGATCTACGTTGTTCTGGAGGGTATTAGAAAGAGTAAGGAACTGAATACACAAAAGTTAATTATTGAAGGGGACTCAAAGTTGGTGTTAAGCTGGTTACAGAGGGGAGGTAGTCTTTGGATGTTTTCTAATGAAAGAAAGGAAATCAAATGGCTAACTAGGGGGGTGGACATCCAATTTTAGTGGGTAAAAAGAATAGAAAATGTGTTTGCAAATGCTTTGGCAAAGCAGGGGATGGGTAGGGATCAATTGTACTGGGCTGTATTGTAAGATGTTATTTTGCTCTCTTGTATAGAGTTAAGTCTTTTTAACTCTCTGGATTGTTGTACCTATTTCTTATTAATCTAACGAAATTCTGTTATTGATCAAAAAAAAAATCCCTAATAGGGGGCTCTTTGGATGCTTCAAGAACTCATGGTAAATTTAAGAGAAACGCAAAAAAAGTCATGGTGAGTTTTAGACAATATCCCTAAAAAAAGACTAGTCACCATAGAAGCAAAAAACATTGTCGAAGAAACTGTTGTTGCACCGTTGCCTCTGGTAGCCACCTGCAGACAGCGAAGACTTTAGTATGTAATGGCACTAGGGAAGTTAAAAGAATTTTTTCATAATAAATAAAATGACACTTTATCAAAATATAAATTTAACGCTTCCATCTCTCCAAACTACAAGATTTCACCAGAAAAAAAAAGGGAAAGAAATGAGAAAAAACAGTTACATATCGTCATTTGAAATAATACAATAATCAGAGTAAACCGAAAATTCAACCAAAAAGAGGATCTCTCAACATCTTCAAATTCCTAATGAGACAACCCAATTCAGAATGTTATTTCCAATATCAGCACATAAACTCTTGCAGATCAGTTTCTTCCTATAAAAAATTCTTCTGCTTCTTTCTCTTCAAATACCCCCAGCAGACTGCAAAAAGAACAATGCTCTAGAAAATTTTTGCCTTGTTACTTTCTGAAATAGATGCATGTTATGAAAATATTTTAAAAATGCATCTGTTATATGGTCAGAACAGCAAGAGAAAGAGAAAGAAAGTGAAAAAGAAAGAAAGAGAGAAGGAAAAGAGGAGTCAGATTAGGGCCAACTACTAGAAGAGAGATTAAGTATCCACAATCTCAATATATACCTGGTGCCCCCTTTAAGCATCATAAAATCCTGAATACTGCTTCAAGATGAGGAACCTGAGGTCATCTCATAAATTGGCTCACAACTCCAACAGCAGAGGACACATCAGGACGATAATAGATAATTGAGCTTCCCAACCAGCCTTCTATAATGTCCTGGATCATCTACAAATTCCCTTTGATCCAATGCAAGTTTAGAATTGGGATCCATAAGAATGGGTGCTGGTTTACACTCCAATGCTCCATCATACCTGTCTCAAGTAAATCCAATGTATACTAACCTTCTTTTTTTATCAGCATCCAATGTATAGTAATGTTGTGACAATGGGATCAAAGTAGTTGATCTCATAACTTCTATCCCCAGGAATTACCATAGCATGCCCAAATCTTTAGTATGGAATTTCTCTTGTAAAAATAATTTCAGCTCACCAATGCCTTATGATATCACTCCTTGTTATCACAATATCATCCACATAATCAACAAGAATGATTTTGCCTGCACCAAAGATCTTACTAAACACCGAATAATCTAACTAACATCTATGAGGCTAAACCCAATAAATGCATCTTTGAACTTGCCACACCAAGGCTCGAGGTGACTGTTTAAGCCCATACAATGCTTTCTTTAACCTACAAACTACTCCCCTACACTCCCCCAAGCAGCAAACCCAAGTGATTGCTTCAATATAAACTTTTTCTTTGAGATCACCATAAAGAAATGCATTCTTAATGTCCAACTGATACAAAGGCCAATGAAAAAGTGAAAAACAGAAAACAGAAAGCAAATTGATTTCACTATAAACCCAAGATCACCATAATGAATGTGATTATTTTAAATTTTTCTAATTTAATCATACCTACAAGTGAATGATTTGTACACTCTAAGGCTGAATATCGCATATGAAAAGTTTTCAATCATATATGATCCAATCTGCCCAGAGATGCCCACTAACAGAAATCACATTGCTCCCTTGTCTACGGCCTCTACAGCACTCTAGTATGGATCTGTTGACCACGAGTTTGTGTAGTTTGATCTCTGCTCTCTAGGGTAGAATGAAGTTCACTTCTAGAGCTCTCTAATATCTTACATAGAGAGGCATGTAGGAGAGTATGAGATCCAATTCGGGTTTCAACCTTAAGATTGGAGTCTCCATTCTATTGTATACAACATGGACATGAGATCCAATCTGAATACCTTGTACTGCCGCTAGAAGCTCAGCTCTAATAGAGTCTCCTATACCCACAGAGCCTGAGAATAAAGCTAATATATTACTTCTTTATCTCTCAGCACCCCACCTATCCCTGATGGACCCGGATTTCCTTGGCTGCTACCATCAAAATTCAGCTTTGTCCAGTCTTCTGAAGGAGGCACCCACACAGCTGGTACCCTGTTCTTCCTGATACTGCTACTAGCCACTGCAATCCAGTTCCTCCACATGTCATCAAAGGAATATATTTTAAAGGAATCTAATGATCTCAGCCAATGAATTGCCCTAGTCAAAATGCAATCCTTTACATTCTGAATATTTCTCTCCTTCTCTTGGAAGATCCTCGCATTTCTTTCTTCCCAAATTGTCCACAAAGCAGCAGCTCTAATGCACCTCCACATTGTTTTACCAATTTTTGTGGGCCACACAAAGAAGGAAGGATCAAAGATCTGATCTATGGTTGTGGTCAAATTCCATCTGCAACCAAACA